ATTGTGGTGATTAGGCAGAACCATTTTAGTTTGATTGCTGAATGTAATGTAACAGAATCGTTTGAGCTACAGATTGTAAGGACATCGCCAGAACTATTTCTGCCATGTTTGGTCAAAGACACTGATGCGATGCAGAATCACTCATCAACGGCAGCGGGAGGCAGTGAATCGGACGATGAGTATTCTACAGAAGACATTGACTATGACGAACAGTATCCAGTCTACATGCTTGTGGCATCCCAAGGCGACTGCTTGAAACTTAAGGTAATAAGAGCACCCATTTTAAAAGCGTGACGATAAATGCGTTCCTAGCAAAAGTGCCGTATGAACATTTTCATCTCATAGGAAAGTAGTTTCTTCGCTCTTCCTCTCGTTTCTGCATCTTGCTTCTTCCTTCCCCACCAGCCATTTAATTTTCACCACTGGAAATTGAGGTAGTTTGATACTTTGACTCATCTAGCTATGTGTACTTCCCATTCAAAATAATATTTCCTGAGCGAAATAACGCTCAACCTCATTTCGCGCTGTATTTGATATAATATTATTTTTTAGTAATTTAACTTGAATCGTCAACTTTACAATTTTCTGCACACTTTGGCGCTTTATAGGAGATTTTTATTTTCTCCTACCCAAATCATGTTTTCTTCCGATATGCTTTATGTTCTTCTATCCAATTATTCGATCCTTCATCTATTTTTAAGCAATTTTCATGTGTTCTCGCCTAATTTATGCAAAAAAACACATGCTTTGTTGCAAAAGTATGTGTGTATGACTGTCTCTATGTGATTAAATAATTCAGTTCGGAAACTAGGGAAACTAGAAAACTGAGATTTCCATTATGTGATCTCCGATTATGTAAAAGGTCAAGAAACCGAAATGAGCTTATCTAGCTTCTCTGTTTTTTTCCTTTTGCTCCTTGATCTAGGATCATGCATTCAAATTTGAAATGATTTTGTGAGTTCACGTTGAAATAATTCGCAGACTGAGGGTATTTAAATTCTAAATCATTACAGAATGTAGCAGTCAAGGTTCACAGCACTCTGAGTGGTGACTCGGGTCGAAATTCAGTTCACTGTTCTCGAAGTTTAGTGGGCTAAAAAATTTTAAAAAACTGGACTGTTAGCCAACTTTCAAAACTGACCAAGCTAAAAAAATATTAATAGACCGGTCTCTTAGCCAAACACACAAGGTTGCACGAATGGCCGAAGACAAGCTTTAAAGCCTCTTGTGCCCTAACCTCTAAGCTCAGTATTTCCTATCTCTTCCACATCGGTTCTAACTTCAGACTAATTTTGAAGTTTCGGGGCAACCTATATGACGAAACGAGGCGAATTTATTTGCAGCTAGCGTTTTGGTCGAACGGAATGCTTTTCAAAGTGGTTCCCTGCTTATTGTTAACAGTTTCTATTGTCGTGCTTCTCAAGGTCATCGCTGACTTATCACATCGAAGACGCACTCTCGCAGAGGTGCTTTTCGTTTAATCGTTGCCGGTGTAGGGGATCTGTAGCGCCGTTCTCATGTCTTAATGCCTGGTTTAAAGCAATGAAAATCACGCATTTTTGCACTGTTTCTCGCTGTAGTGAGACCGGCTGAACTCAAACACATCGCCATATTCTCAGAAAATTTCAGTTTTCTAGATTAACTGGCTCCTAAAATCGTTTTTCTGCCAAAAATAGTTTGTCAAATCCGTATGCGTGAAACTGGCGTGTGCAGAC